GATCTCCTTCCCCACTGCAGCCCACGAGCGGCAGAAACAGAGGTGAGGAAGGTCCCAGCCGGTGTTGGCGAGAGGTTATTCCCCGTCCTCTTGCATTGTGCAAAATGGGGAGGCTCCCGCCCGCCGCCAGCGCTCCCTGCCTGCCGGCACCCCTCACCAGCCCCAGGTATCTGGGCGGTGCTGGGATGGCCTCCCGCACCCTCTGCGACTGCACCTCTCCCTTCCCACAGCCCTCCTGACTCACGCGTGGGGCCAGGCTCCTGCCCCAGCTCCCACTTTGCTTGGGGAACGGCCCCCAGCAAACCTCGAGGAGGAGAGGCTGGGGCTCCTCTGGGGAACTGGGAGCCTTGCCCAGAGATTCAGCAGTCGGGCAAAGCCCTCCCAGCGCGGAGCAGCTCACCCCGCTCCCCACCCGCCATCGCTGGCACGAGCCAAACACCGCAGCTTGGGAGCAAAAAACAGGGCCAAACCTGCACTACCTGCAGGGATCTTCCTGCCACCCTGTGTTTGCTGCCTGTTCTTAAAATGCCACAAGCAGGCATCCTGCATGTTCCCACTGCCTCAGGGCTGAGGAAGGAGAAAGCCCCACAGACCCCTCTGAGATGGTGCCAGGGCATGTCTCTTCTCGGGGGGAAAGCAGGTCATCAGGGCATGGGAGGGCCAGGAAACAGCTGGTGAGATCTCATTCACCATGCCAGCATCCCTCCCGGTGCCCCAAGATGCAGCCACCAAGCTCCACTGGCAGCATGTACTCCAAAAAGGATGGTTTCCTCTTTCCTTGCCCTAATTGAGGGAGGAGGAAAATCTGAGTCGGAAAGAAAGGAATAGAGAAGGTGCCTCTCTGGCAGAGGCTCCCAAGTGCTGGAGGCAGGGACTGGAGCCACGCCGGGGCACTGCTTCTGCAGTTGCCTGATGGAGCTGGCAGGGCAGCCTGCACCAACCCCCCTGGTCCCCTGGGATAGGACTCAGCTTCCCAAGGGTAAGGAAAATCAGGCAAACAAAGCAGTCTCCTGGAGCGGGATGTCTCCCTCTCCAGGCAGCAGAGAAGCTGCAGAGCAAGCACCCCATGAGGACCTTCTCCTTTCAGCACAGTTTATGCAAGAATCTCCCATTTTTTCAACGGGGCTCAAAACTGGTTTGAAGTCCAGGCAGGGACCAAGCTGGAATCTGGGCAGAAAGTGCAAGAGGCTGCCATCATCAATGCCCAGACCTCCGTGCCATGGAATGCCCAAGCCTCTCTCCACAGCAGGGATCTGCAACCCAGTAGCCAGCGCAATGGGATCATTTCATGCCATGCAGTGCATTCTCCCTAAGGCCACACCTTGGAAGACACAGTGGAGCAAGAGAAGCTGACATCCCTCCGACTTCAGCTTGGTCTCCAGATGGCTCTTCCACTTAGTGCCAAGAGAAACGAAAAACAATGCAAGCCCTGGAGTCTTGGGTCAACCACTGCAAAACTGTCAATCCCAGGGTTGCATCGCCCCATCTCTGTCATTTGTACTTGCCACTGTGTTCTCTAGAAGCACAACAGACCAGTCTTCTCCTGCCAGCTGCAGTTCCTTCATTAATTACCTAGAGGAAAGAAAAACTGCGCTTCCCTGCTGTTGAACCCAGTATGGTCTCTCCTTGGTGGGCAAGGCTCTGAACTCTGTTACACTTTCCTGGTTTTTACAGTAAAAGACTTCCAGCGCAGTCAATACTAAAGCTTGATTGCCCCAACAGGGAGGCACCTTGCCCAGTCATTTGAAACCATATAACCACTCCAAACCAGCAGCGATGAGTGCAAGGGGGGCTACCATATGTGCGGAAAGCAAGAATCACAGGCAACACAGAAGATGTCAGCAAAAAGCAGTAGCCATCTGCATCCAGGTGGGGATGAAACCTGCAGCAAAACACTTTTGCAATCTGTGCAGACAGTGGGAGGGAGAGAGATGTACAGCTGGGAGCTAACAGGGCAAAGGGTCAACTTTTGCTTTCCACATAAGTAAGGATCATGCACCACCATCCCTGTTTTGTGCAGGGTAAGCTGAGACATAGCATGAACATGCCCACGCTACAGGACCTGGAGGACTGTCCAGCCTCTTGCTCCAGGTGCAGAGCCAAGCGGTGCTCCTGACCATGCCAGGGTGACAGCTGAGCACACGCTAGCCCTTTCCCTCCGGGAAGGAGACGTGGGACCGTGCTTTCACCCAGCAAGACCCTCTGCATGCCCTGTCTCCCATCCAGATGATCATGGATAGACCAGGAGGGTGTCCCAAAGGCCGTTCATCCGTCAGTTTAGACATCTTCCCCTCTCTGTCTCCGTGCCAGAAACAGACCCAGTATCCTGGATCCCCAAACCCCTGTTGCGACTGCTAAACAGTCCGAGTGTAGGAAGGGAGAGACTGCACTCCTCCTTTGGGACCCACAGGAGGCCACCACCAGGGCTGGGTAGCCCTGTGGCCCAACCTGCTGCAGCCATCCCTCAGTTCTTCATTTCCAGCCCTTCGCTGCAGCAGGAGATTCAGGTACCACCAGCCCCCGCTTCTGCCTATGGAGCAGTGGCTGGACAGGCTGGCGTCACAGGCTGCTGCTGAGGCTCCACCATGCTACGGGTGAGCTGCCGGCCCGTCCTGTACGCACACTCTGCCGTGGCAGTGACCTGCAAAGGTGGCTCCTCAATTCCCAGGCTCAGATCATGCCTTTATTTCAGCAGAGCACCACGGCATTGCTGACAAGTGGGTGTCACGGGTTGGCACGCATTGACTTTCTAAACCAGACCTGATAGTGCTGCTGAGGCTCCACCATGCTACGGGTGAGCTGCCGGCCCGTCCTGTACGCACACTCTGCCGTGGCAGTGACCTGCAAAGGTGGCTCCTCAATTCCCAGGCTCAGATCATGCCTTTATTTCAGCAGAGCACCACGGCATTGCTGACAAGTGGGTGTCACGGGTTGGCACGCATTGACTTTCTAAACCAGACCTGATAGGGAGAAGTCGCCCAAGCCTGCAAGCGGCATGAGCAAGCCTTGGGGCACTCAGAACCCTGTCCACAGAGTCACTCCAGCTTGGCTGAATCAGGCCCGTAATGAGCAAGCAAGATCATAACATCTTCATAAAAGTAGGATTTAAGTACAAACATCTGCCCTGCTGTTTTTTAATTAAGACAGTTTATAGCTAGGCATTCGTTTCAGTAATCCACGGCTCCAACTGCAGAAATGCCATGCGTATTCTAATTACAGCAGCTAGTTTATTTAACAGAGTTTGACATTGTTTGACATTTAACTGAGTCACCTTGTTCCTGAGTAAAGCAACAAGGGCTTTTCAGCAGTTCAACAAGAAAGACAGAGATTCGAAATCAAAAGTAGAACGTATATCACAGAAATTTTAGATTAAATACAGCTGATGTCTATTCTATTCTGGCAGCTTCTCTCTTTGGGACACTAAGTCAATGCAAATGTTTTCCAGATATAACTCTTCCCCTCAAGGACACGCAGCAGTACCATCTCCCTCATGTTCCTGGAGGGTGGGAAGGGTAGGAAGTGTTGTAATGGGCATATGGGATGCATCTCATCCTCTGCAAATATCACCCAGCCATATATCAGGGCATCCATCACTAAGAACTGCACACAGGCTAAGCATCAGTCACCTGCATTCAGCCGACATTTTTCTAGGACAAAGTAATGGTTCAGTGATGGTCAACACAGGTGGAACAACCGTTACCTGCAGACAGAGATTTTCCTACAGCACCTCACCTAAAGCCATCTGCCGTATTGCACAGTGCTTTTCAAGGATCTCAAAATGCTTTCCAGCAAGAAAGGGAGGCCAGCAGCATCCATCCCCATTGAACAGAGTTTCACAAAGTGACTTGTCTATGAGTTTGTTTGTGGCGCAGCTGGAAACAGAGCCCACGCTTGGACTCCTCTCCTCATTCCAGGTTGGAAATGGAAGGCAACACCACCTCCCCCTGGCTGCAGAGGGGCTGGATGCAGCACAGAGCAGTGCAAAGAGCAAGCCCCGATCCTGGGGCTGCCTTCCAGAAGACCCATGGAGGCTGCCAGGCTGCCTTCCCGCCCTACTGTGGCTCCCATGCTTGCGTCACGTATTTGCTGCTGGTTTCCAAGTCCCTGCTTCCCCGCTTGCCCTGGAGCTGTGCTCACCACACATCTGGAGCAGCTGCTCTGCCTGCAAACAGCACTGGGGACCACAGCACGCTCCTGGAGAGGACTAAGCCCTCCCATCCCAGTTTCTCTTTACAGACCTTTGGGGAAGAGCTGGGATCTCCTTTTTATAGTTAAAGACAGAACAGACCTTTTAACAGGCTGAAAATACTCCATTTATGCTGACAGGCAGTGGAGCGAGCCAAACTCTAAACCAACAGCCAGAATCGTGCAGTCAGACAATAGAGCTGGTCCGAGCGTGCATTTCCAAGAGCACGCTGCGGTCTGGCTCATCTCCCCCGTGCCATCCCTTCAGCTGCTGCTGGAAGAAGCTGTGTGGAAGTGTGTGCCGTTACCCTGAGGAGAGGATATCCATCACATCCAGCCCCTCTCTGAAAGCTGTCAGAGGGACAGCGGCTCAGGCCAAAGAGACATTTACTTATCTTTTTGGCCAGCGTTGCAGAAATCCCTGTTTGCATCACCAGTTGCCAGTGGCAACTCTAACTATTCATTTCTTATTTCACAGTAACAGTGTCTGCAGAGCCACAGCATCCAGAAACAAAGATGATGGTGTCTCTGGTCTCCAGTGGCCTCCCAGCTCAAGCTGTCTGGTTGCACCCCACAGGCACAGCCCCCCAGAAGCCATTGAATCCCTTTGTGTGGCAGGGCACGAGCCAACCTGAACCTGAACAGCTGATGCAAGATCTCCTGGGAGTCCTAAACACCATGCCAGTTATTTTAGGAGGAAGCAGAGGTCTGGTATCACAGGGCAGCATGTACAAGCTCCCAAGGAAAAGGCGTTTGTAAGACCGGTCCCCAACTGCTCTCACTCATCTTATTTAGGGCTTTTCCCACAGCATTACCTGGTAGAAAAGGGATGATTCTTTGCTTTGGGTCTTTCTGGCCTCCTTCAATAGGGAACTTGTCCAGAAGCTGCATCTGCAAAGGAAACAGAAAAAACATCTTAGGAGGAAAATATGGATAGGGATACATAGGGATAAGGCCGCATAGGGACCAGGGGATTTCTTGGTCTGTGGTGGTTTAAAGAGGGTTAGAAAAGCAAAGCAACCGCAGGAATACATCTGCCTTGTGGCAAGGGAGTCTGTACATAAAAAGGTATGATACAGTTCACTCCAAGAAAGGGAGGGCAAGTTTCTGGCAGCTTAGAGAAGCTGGGACGGGGCCCAGGCAGACATTTGAGCCTGGCCTTGCTGCTGTTCTAAAATTAGGGTCTCATCCTTCGTAAGAAAACACACGCCTTGTTTCTAATCCACAGCCTGCCTGCGTTGGTGGAGACACAGTTTTTACCTGTCCCTGCAACAGACCACCCACCTGGCTAAAAATGCTGTTCAAGCAACCGGATTAAAAATTATTTAATAAAACACCCGCTCTGCTTTCTTGCTGGCAAGGCACTGCCCACTGCCCTGGTCCAGTAAGAGCACGCCTGCTTTCCCAGGGAGAGCTGGGTTTGGGGGACTATCTTCCACTGCAGTCCCTACATGGAGGAGAGCACCAGAGAAAGGGAGCAGGGAGGGAGCCCCGGGAGAGCAGAACATCCCAGAGGACACTACCATGAATGTCCAGAAGGCACAGCTCATGGTGGATGTGCCTTCAGCCTATGACAAGCACCCTTGAGCACATGGTTATGGACCACCCAAGCCACAGTTTCACTCACATCAGCTACGATCTTGCCCCATCAGCTCCTAAACCCTGCCCACCACAACCACCTGTTTCTAACATGCCCCTAAAGGACGACCAGGCTCAGTATCCTGTTGTACCACACAGCCGCAATGAGCCTTCAACCTGAGAAACTCAAAGGGGTATTTGATGGCTATATCCAGTTTGCGTGGTGGAGCAGACTGCTGACCACCAGTAACTTTCTATGGAAGCAAGCCTAGGAAAGCAGTACATTGACCTGATGTTCCTAAATGAGCTCTACAATTTCTGCTTGGGTGATGAGCCTGGATGGACCAGTGCCACTGAGGCTGAACACCAGCCAAAAGGCCACGCACAACCTCAGCTGGAAAGGAAAGAAGCACGTACTTCAGTGGCACCTTCATGGACCTGCCCAAGAGAGACTGTCCCCAGCCCTGAAAACTGCCAGAGCCTCTCACCCCTCCCATTTACCCTCTGCACCCTCTCACTGTCATTTAGCCCATGGTGCTACCAAGATAAATACCTAAATCTTCATATTCTATTTCATTTTCTCCCATGTTTCAGATGTACAATGCAATGCGCTATGTCCCTGTTGATCCTACACAGAAGCCCCAGCTCCCTTGGGCTGGGGGAACACCAAAGTTCCTGCTAGCCCAGTGACTCATTTCCAGCAGACCAGGAGAGATGTCTTTCAACCCGTAGTCCGCAGGCCCTGTGGCATCTGAGGAAGGTGAGGAAGGAAAGCAAGCAGTCCTGTTACTTGACTTTGCAGGACCCCTATCTCCTCACACAAACTGGATCTACAGCTCAATACAAATACCTAAAATGGCAGCAAAAGCTGCAGG